AAAAAAAAAAAAATCCTTAAGGGGAATCAATTAGTACATAAGAACACAATCATCTTAAAAAAAAAAAAAAAAAAATCCTTAAGGGGAATCAATTAGTACATAAGAACACAATCATCTTGACAAAAAACAGTACCAAATGAAAAGTGGAATCAATTTAATACCATCCCCTTGACAGGAGACTGACTGTTTGATTCACTCTAGTCAGGTATACATGGGCAAAATAAACATAGATTGCCATTATTGTGATAATTCAGCAGGGTTCGAGGAAGGGAAATCAGACAAACAAACGAGATCTGGCTCATGAGCTAGGTGACTAAGTTCTTCACTTCAGCAGCAGCAGCGTTGTGGGTTGAACTGTGTCTAGGTAAAAAATATGTTCAAGTCTTAACTCCTGCTACCTACAAATGTGATCTTATTTGGAAATAGGGTATTCACCAGGGACAGATTACCAAATGATCAAGGTAAGCACAGGCTTACTTGTGTTTGCTAATCTGCAATGAGTAATTTCACATAGTACTCCATCCTTGTCAGGGATTCTGAATATGAAAAGAAGCTTTGATTATGTAGCAAGGTGCTATGGGATTTGGAGACAGATGCCAGTCATACCCAGAAACAGGTATTTTTACTTGTGAATTTACAAAGCAGATTCGCTTTTATTAGAAGCAGAATTTTTGATGTGATGAAAAAATGTGAAATTGTTCACCACAGATTAATAAGTAAGCCTGTGCTTACTTTGTTTACTGGTTAATATAACACTGGTCTTTATAGATAAAATTTAGTTCACATGAATCATACTGGAGTAGGGCAGATCCTACTGATGTCTTTATAAGAAAAGAGACAGAGAGAGACAGATGTAGAGGGAAGGCAACCATGTCAAGACCTGGGATCACGAGAAGCTGAAAGAGGGAAGAAAGAATTTCTCCCCCAGAGCTTTCAGAGAAAGCATGGACCTGCTGACATCATCACTTCGGACTTCTAGCCTCCACAAAAGAGAGAATAAATTTCTGTTGTTTTAAGCCATCTATTTTGTGCTAATCTCTTATGGCATCCCTAGGGAACTAATAATACAAGGGGACACCTGATTTCTTTAACTGCACTTCAGTATAATCATCTGGAATGTTACTATTTCCCTTTATCAATATTTTAGGTTTATTTTATTGGCAGAATAAATGAGTAAGGGCAGACCATCTGGAAAGTTACTGCCTCAGAGTATCTTGCTCCCCAAATAGCTGATGTTTATCAGAGCAGCTACAGAAGGCATAAAAGGGAAGAGTGGAGGTAGGGAGAGATAGAAAGCAGGAACGAAGTTAGACAACATCACTATGCTAAGTCTGAAATACTTAAAAATTTATAGTACATGAATATTACCTTGTGGTCAGACACTGAGGAAATGTTTTCAATTGCCTGGAAAGACAAGAGTCATAAAACTATTAGAACAAAACAATGGAACATTTTTTACGTTATTCTGCAAGCAGGCCTCTTATCAATCTGCCCATCTGACAACCTGCACATATCATTTCTACCTGAATGTCTTTCAAGATTTTTATTTCAATCTACCTTTTCTTATATATAAGGAGCTCTGGTACCACAGTGACTAAGGCATCTGACTGCTAACCAGAAGGCTGGGGTTCAAACCCACCAGCCACTCTGTGGAAGGAAGATGGGGCAATCTATTTTCGTAAAGATATACCGCTTTGGAAACACAATGGAGCTCGTTATGAGTCAGAATTGACTCGGTGGCAGTGGGTTTTTTTTTTTGTTACTTATACATGAAGTCCCTAGGTGGCTCAAGTGTAAGTGTAGTACTACTAATCAGAAGGCTAGCAGTTTGAACCTACCCAGAGGCACCTCAGAAGACAGGCCTGCATATCTGCTTCTGAGAGATCACAGCCTTGAAAATCCTATGGAGCACAGTTCTACTCTGACACACACAGGGTCATCATGAGTCAGAATCAACTCAACAGCAACTGGTTTCATTAGCTCTGGTGGTGCAGTGCCCAAGGCATTTGACTGCTAACCAGCAGGTTTGGTTTAAACCCACCAGCTGCTCTGTGGAAGGAAGATGGGGCAATGTACTTCTGTAAAGATTTAACACCTTGGAAACCCAGTGAGGGTCACTATGAGTTGGAATTGACTCAATGGCAGTGGGTTTGGTTTTTGGATATATCTGTCACCCATTTCCTTCTTAATATTCAAAAAGTTCTAAAGATCTCACCCACCTTAATCCATGATTCTGAAATGGTTTTCTCATATCTAACAGCTGACTTTATCACATCAAAGAGGAGAAGCACACAGTCCTGATCGCTGCTTTCTTGATTTCCTAAAGAACTACAAGTAGCATGGAGAAAATATTATTCTTCTACTTACCAGAGAGGAACTTGTAAGATCTGGGTTCCTGTTTACTACCCATATGCCCTAGAACAAGTCACAATCTCATTTGTAAAATGATTAATAAACTTGTATTATAGTCTATCTGGGACTGACTTGAAGAGCTAGAAAAAACATGTATAAAGATGACTTGAAAAGCTTCATAGTATTACATGCATGAAATATGACTACCGCTATTTGTAGTTGTAATTAAACAGCACAAATTGCCCTGGTTTCAGGTTGAATGTAAGAAGACATCCCTTGTCTGTGAGAGAAAAGGGGTGGTGACTATCAATGAACTCTATACCTTGTTCGTCCTTTACTTTTCAATTTGCTTTGTGAAGGCTGCAGCTGTGATGCCAAAATACAATGCTGCAGATCCAACTGCTCCCGAAGCTCAGAAATTACCTGCAAAAAGTAAATATTAGCTGTGTGTTTTGTTCATTCATGGTGGACCAGCACAGTCCATTCTTTCTAGAGGAGAATCATAGCAATCCCCTGAAAGATAATGAAGAGGAACTATTAAATGTTAGATTTTGAAATAATGAAAAAAAAAGTCGATGAAAATGGCTGATGAAAGGATAGTCTGTCACATTCTTCAAAGTTCCAGAAATTCACTGAGATACAATAAAAAAATAACAAGCATAACGTGCAGTGACTGATGTAGAGCAACAGATCTGAGTGGTAGCTTCATTCTCTCCTCTGAGTGCTATCTGAATTAATAAGCACTACTTCTTGGGAGGAAGGTTGGGCAATCTACTTCCATAGTGATACCGCCTCGGAAACCCAAGGAGGGGGTCACTATGTGTGAGATCCGACTTGATGGCAGGGTTTTTTTTTTTTTTTTTTAAATCAATTAGTCAGGGAAAAGCAACTGGAATCTATTCATTTAAATAATTTATCCTGATATACCTTCCCTAGTTTTGTCCTGAATTTCACAAGGGCACCACTGCCATTCTCTGTACACTCTAGGATCTAGTATCCTAAAGGTGTTTGATGATGAGACATAACAGGTACCTGGACTGCATCTGTGGCTGTTATGGCATGAAGAATGAACTTGATTATCACAGGTAAATCTTCCAGTTTGACAGCTGACAGCTTATTCATCACCAACTGGCAGACCTAAAAATGGAAAGCACAAAAACTTTAAAATATGTTCATGTCAATACCTCAATCTGCTACTGACTTGTTAGATAAAATCAGAAAAATCACTTCTCTCAGTTTTCCCACCTGTAATCTAGGAATAAAAATACCTCCTTTTATTTTTCCCAAATTACACGTTTTCAACTGCTAATGCCACAGTTTCTTCAAAAAGCAGACAAGTGATACATATGAAATGCTATTATTATCTTACAATTTAGAGTCTGAATTCCCTACTGCCTAAAAGGAGGCATAAAAAATTGTTATTCTTATGTTGTTGTTATTGTTATGTGCCGTCAAGTCGGCCCTAACTCATAGCGACCCCTCCTTGGGTTTCTGAGGCATTAGCACTACGGAAATAGATTACCCCATCTTCCTTCCGAGGAGTGGCTGGTGGGTTTGAACCACCAGCCTTCTGGTTAGCAGTCAAGTGCCTTAAGCACTATGCTACCAGAGCTCCTTGTTATTCTTATAGGGAACAGTTTATAAATATTAAGGCAATATAGATTTCCACTGAAAACTTATTGGTTAAAACCAGACCAGGGAAGCTATAAGATGGCATAAAAACCAACTGAAAAGAAAAAAAGGATCAAATGTCATTCGATATGGGATCAAAATAAAATTTCATTATATACAATTTCTCCCAAAGGCAATGACTGACTGACACTGGTTCCAGGATGTCAGAAAGCCAGCTCAGTTCTGGACAGCAGAGTCTTTCTACCTTAGACAGGAGCTTCGGGTTGAGCTGAAGGCTGGAAAGAACATCCAGGATCGGGACAGTGAGGAAAGTATTCTCCAGGAGTAGGTCACTATGAATGGTAGAGAAAGAGGAAAAAGTTGTGCAACTGTTTTAACAGAGAGGAGCAGAAACAACTCAGGGTACATCACTCATAAGAGTTTGGGAAGGGAGGATATACTTAGTTCCAATTAAATTATTGTTAATAGTATGTTACACTATAAATTATTTTGATTACAAAAAATAACATGTACATTATAAAAAAGTTCAAACACTTCAAGTAAATCTTAAAAAATTCAAGTATTAAATGAAATGAAAACAAGAAGCCTTCTTCTAACATCCTCGATACTCAGAGGTAACCTATAGTCAGTTTGGTACGTATGCTTTCCAAAAAAAAGAAAACTCAAAATAACTACAATGAAAACAAATCTGCTTTGCAAATTTGTACCATCACAATAAAAAATTAAAATAAATAAGTACCATAAAGTGGAATAAATACAAAAGATGTGTGTGCAGTGTGCTACAGGAGCACATGGTGGTGAGAGCATCAGTGATGGGTTCTTGGAGCAGACTACACAAAAGAACAAACTACATTTAAACAAAGTGGATGGTAATGTTCTAACCAGAGGGAGCAGCCTGTCCAAAGACATAAAGACAAGAAATCACTGTACATTTTTGGAGAGAGCTTTGAAGACAACCACAGAAAAGGAAGTACATTTCAAACAGAATTTTTCTTAACTGCTTCTTGAACAACCAAGAAATGGCATTAAGACAGAAACACTGTCACTGAGGGATATAATTCTCACTTACCGTGCTACAAATTGGGGCTGCTGGTGGCGTAGTGCCTAAGGTAGTGACTGGTAACCAGAAGGCTGGCAGTTCAAACCCACCAGCCACTCCTCGGAAGGAAGGTTGGGCAATCTACTTTTGTAGCGATACCACTCTGGAAACCCAAGGAGGGGTCACAATGAGTCAAACTGACTCAAAGGCACTGATTTTTTTTTTTTTTTTTTTGGTGCTACCAACTACTTGTATTTTTACATGAATAAAGTAAGCAATGGATCTCAGAAATGAGTCTGATGCAGGGATATGCATTAGCATTAATCATCTAGGGGCTACAGAACTGTAGATTTCTAATCCCCACAAATGAGTTTGATGTGTAGTCAACATTAAGGTCCTCCTGGTTGGAGGAAATGCTAATAAAAGGAAGTGATCATGCTCAAATTCTCCATAGGCTAAATTTACATACCTAACCCTACAGCAGATTTCATATTCACAACAGGTATACCGTTTCAATGAAAGGAGATGGGTCTGTTCAAATATATACAGACAAGAAAACAAGTCGAATCCCACGCCCTACTCATGGAATGTCTATATCTCCTTTTTTTAAATATATATATATATATATATGGGAGCTCTGGTAGCATAGTGGCTAAGGCACTTGACTGCTAACCAGAAGGCTG